GGTTTTCATCACAAATTACTGCAGCCAAGGTCAAGACACTAAGCTTAAACAGGGAATTTACCTAAACTAATATTCCTTGGCAATTGCCTGTGTATGTACACTACACTACATTTTCAGGTAGATTGCCACATATTAATTATGGCATATCTTAAACAATCTTGCATTATAAAAGAGGCAAAAAAAATCTAGTACTGTTGAATTATGAAAAAAATTATAATTAAGCACTGTAACAGGCCAGACTACCTAGACAGGCTGTGAAATCCCTCTTCACTGGAGATTTTAGAGATGTTAGACAGACATTATTATCTGCACTTACACAACCAGACCATGGAGGAAACAGAGAAACAACTTCCAGCAATAAGAGGGGAAAAAACCCAAAAAACACTACACCAACAAAAACCATAAACAAATAAAAAACAATCAACCAAAAAAACCCCAAAACAAAACACCATAAAATCCACACTGCAGAAAATCAGTTTGCATATTGAAATGTTAGTCTTTTGGGGAACAGTTCTTGTATTTCACTTATTCTTAAATTCAAAATCAAACAGTGAGTAGCTCCACTAAGTCTACAATCTCAATAAAATTAATAGTTACTGCCTCTAAGCTATGCACAGATTCCAGACCTACCCAACCTAAATCATCACCCAGCCTGTTTTATTCAGGGCATAAACATTTTGTTCCAAATGAAACTTTACACTCAGCTCGCAGCTCTGGCTATAAAGTTATATTCTGCCCAGAAAATGACAGCACATATTCATAGCACAGCCAGACTGAGTCCAAACACAATGCAGCTCCAGTAAGAGGCACTCTGTTGTTAGGAATAAAACATTTCTGAAGAACCCTATATCACTTTCTTGTCACTTCAGTGAGAAAGGTAGAGGAAGATGGTATCTGCCAAGGAAACAATGCCACTGACTATACAAATTACTGAGAAATACTTAATGAAATGTAAAAAGGAAGGGAAACAACACTGTAGAAGTCAACAAATATTTTTTTACAGAAATTTCTAACAAGTGCTAGGGAGATGCCATCAAAACAACCACTTCAACAAACTTCACTGTAGGAATAATTTTAAGAAATACAGTTATGCTTCCCTCTTTGTCCAGGGTGCAGTGAGGTTGGCCTGCCTTCATCAGAGAAGGATAGGCAGACAGTCCAGCCAACTGTCTAATGCGTAAAACAAAACCACTCACACTGGAGCAAGGTATCTGTGTAATGTCTCAGGGCTTGAAATTTGGGTTCCTTGGCCACCAGATGAGCACAGCTTCCATTTCCTCACAGGCTGTGCTGACACTGCACAGTGCAGTATCCCAGTACTGAAGTTTGCTTGGGAACTGGAAGCACCTGAGATAAAATATCACAGAGGCTGATTTACCTAATGGAAAAATGGTTCTTCCCAGCAGGGTGAATGGCTCTGTGGACAACCCTGGGCTTCCACGGCTACACAATTTTTTTACACAAGCACACAGCCCATGAAGGCCCATGAAGCCTGGTGTCCAGGCTGCACCTGTGCTGTGGTTATCCTTCAGGCATCCCAGTGTGACCTCAAGCCAACAGCCTGGCTGCCATTTCCCAGGCTAAGATTTCTGAGACGGCTCCCAACACAAACAGAAAAATAAACATAATTTCTAGGTTACATTTGAAAAAAACATAAGCAATGGGTGTAGCTCTTGTACATAAGTAGAAATCGGGGTGCAGATAAGTTTAAAAAAAACCCACTCTTTAATATGCAAGATACAGGGTCAGTTACTAAACTGAAACACTGAATTAGAAGAAATGAGTTCAATATCATTTCACCCAATTCACATTTCAGACAAATTATGTTGAGATACTACAGTAAACAAGCAAGACAGAATTAGATAAAGATGCTTCAGTCACTCATTTTAATTAATAATTAGAATTATCATTAAAAAAATTCAATCTCCATCCAATTCCTTCAACGCTTTAATTTTTGCAGCCCTGTTGAACCGCACAGATACTCCCAAAGATAAAAGGATACCCTGCTTGCTTTAATTTTCACCTTATACTTTCTGCAAATAATTTACACACTGTACAATGGAATGCTGTCTACCGTGGACATGTATGCAGAAGGAAAAGTGGTTCAGCATTGCATATCACAGAACGTAAGCAAGTGAAATGAGGAAAGATTGTATCTTTAATATCTGGTCCATACGAACACCCAAACAAAATTCTTTTGCAATACTGGGAAACAGCTCAAAGGCTCACCAATCAATCACCTCTTCAGGCAGAAATCCTCATGATTAACACACCAGAATCCTCTACAATATAAAGACATATATATATATATATATATATATATATATGTCTCATAGTTCTAAACAAAAGATTTAGAAATAAGGATTTTAAATAACCTGAAAAATAAAGAACAAAGTGTTGCAAACCATTTTTGTCCAATACTGCTTTTTAAACCTCTACCCAAGACTGCTGTCAGTAAAATGTCCCCACTAAAGCATTTCTCTTTACAAAGACTAATACATTCTTTAAATGCAGACTTATCAGATAACTGTTAAGATCTGTATTTTATGGAGGAAGCCAGTAATATTTTCCTCCTAATAATCAGCAAATATTTCTGCATCTAGAGCTAGTTCTTTATTATATCTTCAATTAAAAAGGGGAAGGGAAAACCACCTTCTCGCTTCATTCATATTCCAGATTATGAGTGGAACTATCATCTACAAGAAGATGACACAAAAAATCGGTAAGATTTTTTTGTGTCATCTTCTTTATTCATCATTTTATCTTTCCTTTCCTGTCCATACTGAGCCCAGGTCTTTGTGGAGCACTCCCCAGAGAGGTCCAGATATTCTACTCCAGACAGAAACTTAAAAACCTGTTATCAAAATGCTTTCCCTCTGATGTCATGATTTTGCATTTATAGGCACTCAATTCTATACACTGCCGAGATATACTATCTGTTCACTAATCAGAAGAAAGAATAGGGGTTTCAAAGCTACAAAGGCAGCATTCTCACTTGGATGGGAGTGTACAGTTCATACTTTGGGGGAGGGGAAGAGAAGAAAGAGTGTTGGCTCTTTCATGAACATAAAAGGGCAGAATTACACATTAGTGTAGCTTCCCCATGTATAGACATTTTTTTTCTGAAATGCAGTGTAAACTTAAAATCAGCCATTAGCTTCCTTAACTAAAGCTCAAATCATCCATGTAATTACTTTTACAGAGGATTATGACTAAGTTTTTTTTAAATGTGAATTGTTAAAATTTCACAATTAAGAAATAAATCACAATGGGAAAATAGGTGCCTATTCAAAAACACCCAACCAAGCTGGCATCGTTAATACCCTTTAAACAAGGCAGAACTGAAATACTGGGAATGCTTGTTGCCAGTTCAGAATTGAAGTGAATTGGGTAAACCGTGCAAATAGGTTCTTAGAGCACCTGCCCAGCCCTTGGCCTGGTACAAATCTGTACTTGTTCCTAAAAAAAAACTTCTTCATCAGGGCACAGAAAAAAAAAAATCATTGAAGTTTTCAAAATGGAAAAAAAAACAACCAAACAAACAAANCAAAACCAAAAAAACCTACACTTTTTTAAAAAAAATACATTTGAAAGAAAAGTTGGAATGCTGAGCATTCTTGATTCATATGTGCTTTAATACCAAGATTTTTGACCTTCAGAAGTCCCTTCTCCCAGGAAAAAAAAAAGGGAATAAACCAAAAACACTCCTCAGAAACAGCCACAGAGAGACGCTGCAGACATCCATCTAAAATAATGGCAGCCAAAGGTCAGGATAATACAGGGAACACTATGCTTTTTATTTATTAATCTTCCTGAAAGAGACCTCTAAGTAAGCAGAAGCAAGAAAATCAGGGACTATCCAGTCAGAGAGATGTAGAAACTGCCTAAACATGTGTCATTTCCAGGATTTTCCTAATAATGACACCAAGTATCCTCAACTCTGACAAATTAATTTTAAGACCTCACTGAAATATAACATGGAAACCACCATCAGCTTGTTAGGTCATGTTAGCAAGATTCAGCAATTTTTCTCTGAAGATTCGCTTATCTATATCCAGAAGATTACAAAATATCACTAAGAAAAGCAAGCACTGCAGATTGGATCCTGATCAGTAAAACGACAGAAAAGTCGTAGGAGTCTTCCAAAAGTGCTGGGAAATGCATACTGCAAGAACAATTGGTATTCCTGCCTAGCAAAGCTGGGTTACACTAAAAGGCTCCAACATGTTAATCTGTCACCGTGACAGAAAAGCAAAGGATGCCAGACCAACACACATCTCTTTTCCAACACCCCGCATATCTAACACTGAGCTTCCGAACACAATTAAAAATAGGACTAGTGTCCAAATATATGAGTAAGGGTGTTCTTAGCATTTCTGCTTCCAACTTCTTGTTACAAAAAAAGAGTACCCTTCAAGACCTTTCAGCATTTCCTTAAGAGTGTTTTTTTGTGTTCTATAATCACAAGTGACAAAAGAAATAGCTCCGTATTTCCTCAAAACCCCCCAAAGGAAAAAAAAAAATACACATTACAGTAATTCTGTTACAAAACTACAGCACATGTGTGAGGCCCCGAGAAGCACCGATGCTGATAAAATTAAAAATGGCTGTGCCCGAAGATCCCACAGCGAAACAGGCACAGCTCTGCTAACGATTAAAATATATATTAAAAATTCCTGCATTACCTTACAAAGGGCGAGGTATGCAAAACTAAAAGATTATATATATTTCCAAAACTGAAGTAACTTATTAGACAAGAGATGCAGATCTAAGCAAAGCATTCTTATACTGAGTGCAGGTCTCGCTCATTTACACAATAAAGCAGATTTTATTCCCCGAGACACTCAACGTATCAAGATTTCAAAACTTTTATCAGGCTTCGCCGCTGAAATAGATGCACACCACTCGGTGAGGAGGCAGAGATGTGCCCGAAGAGCAGCGGACCCCACCCCCTTCCCGCTGCCAAAATGGCCAGTTCGTTCCACCCAGTGGCTACTCACCAGCCGCAGTGCCGAGCAGCAGGGTGGCACTGGAGAGCAGGAGCACCAGCACAAGGTGCTGCAGTGAGGCAGGCATACCTGGGCAAGCCACGGTTCGAGCCGGCAGGAGAAAAAAAAAAAAAAAAAAAAAAANAAAAAAAAAAAAAAAAAAAAAAAGGGGTAAAAAAAACACCCAAACCCCGAAGAGAGGCGAATCCTCCTGCTTTCGCACAGCCTTCCTTAACTCTCTCGGTTTACAATCCAGTCTGGAAGGGCAAATGGCAGATGAGAGGAGCCGTCTTCGCTCTTACTCCATTACAGCCGCCTGCCTTCATGCCTGGGGAGCCGGCAGCGCTCAGCGGACACGGGGGAAGCGCCTGGCTCTGCCTCCCAGCCCCGAGGCATCTCCCCCGCCGGGGAGGACGGCGGCACGCTCCCGACCCCGCTGGGAACCGGGCTATTTCCCACGCAGCTTCACGACATCGAAGAAAGCGCCCGGTCGGGAAGGGAACATATCCAGACGCGCCCACCGCGGTGTCAGTCAGCGCGGGCCCTGCGGGCTGCCCGGGGCGCGGAGAGCGAGCTAGGGGCTCACGGCGGCGGCGCGTCCCATCCCGGCAAAGGGCTCTGTCCTCTGGCCGCCGCTCCTGCTGCCTCACGCTCCGGGCAAGGCGGCGGCGAGGCCCCCTGTTCTCACGGCGAGGGCTGCGGCTGCATCCCGGCCCATCTGCCTCCCGCGCCGGGCGGGCTCTTCCGCGCTGCCCCGGCCCCCGCCGCAGCACCGACGCCACCCCCGGCCACCCCGACAAAGGTGGGGCCCGGGGCGCCGAGGCCCCTCCTCGGCGGCTCCGGCTGCGAGCGCACCCGGCTGCTCTCGGCGGGCGAAGGCCCTTCCCCTCCTCCGCCTCCCGCCCCGAGTTTCCACAGCGCCGGGCAGCCCAGCCCGGCCTCCTCACGCCGGTCTCCGCGCTGCCAGCGCCTTCCTCCCCCCGCGCCGGGCTCGCCGGCGAGCGGCCGCTCCGCCTCTTTCCCCTGCCCGCCGCCGGCTGCGGGCGGGAGCCGAGCGAGGGCCGGAGCTCCGCCGCCCGCGCCCCCTCTCGCCCGCCCGCCCCAACAGCACGGGCGGCTCCAGACACAAAGGGGAGTCGCCGCAGCCGCCGGCCCGGGCGCCCGTCCCGCCGCGCCGCCCCCGCCGCCCGGCTCCGCCCCGCACCATGGAGGTGGCTCAGGTGGGCAGAGCGGGGCGGCCGGGCGGAGCTCCGCCGGCCGCGGGGCGAGGGCAGCGCCGCGGGCGGGAGCTGCGGGCGAGGGGCGGCTCCGGCAGGAGGGGAAGGCCCCGCCGGACCTTCCCGGGGAGGCCGCGAACGCCCCCCCTCCCCCTTGCAGCCTGTCTGTGAGAGAGGCTGTCAGCAGGGAGGCGTGAGCTCAGGATTCACAAAAAGCCTGCAACAAGGAAAAAATGTTTAGCAGGCTCTGAGATTGCGTCATGCGTGAACTCGGTGGCCTGCCTGTCAGACACCCGCACTCCTGCCTCGTCCTCGGGTTCAAGACCCCGTTATCTCTGTCCCTGAGAGCTCCCCTAGGGGCACTGGCCGTGCCACCTACTGCTCTCCCTGGTGAGCCCGGGCAAATCACAGATCAGTTAGGTTGGAAATGACCTCTGAGATCATCGAATCCAACCTGTCAGCCAAGTGCCACATCCAGTCTTTCCTTAAACATCTCCAGGGACGGTGACTCCACCACCTCCCTGGCCAGCCCATTCAATAGCTAATCACCTTTTCTCTGAAGAATTTCTTCCTAATGTCCAGTCTGAAATCCATTCAGCTCGTATGGCTTCAGCCACCTGACTCTCTCAAGCAAAACCATTGCTTAAAACCTCTTAAAGAGATTTTATGATTTCAAAACAAAGATAAAGTGAACCCACTCAGCTGTTTGTATGCTTTAACCTTTGCTGTATTGCACAGGACCAAAGAGATAAATTTAGGGTAGCAGCTGATGGGAGAACTGTGACTGGAATGTAGTGTCTGATGTTCTGGCCTAGCAAGGCTCTTTCAAACAAGTTTCACTGGCTGTTGCACAGAAAAAATGGTTCTTAAGAACACCCTGCACTCAAAGGCACCTTCATAGCTGGGCATCACCAAAGGTTTGATTATGGGAAATGCTTCCCTGTGCCAAAATTCCTATACCGGTTTCAAGAGTGGACTACAAGTTCAAAAATATTGAATGCTACTACATAAAATTATGTAATTGCAAGTCAGAGTTACAATTTTAGTGATAATAAAATATTTCTGCACAATTCCATTTTTCTTCACAAACGGTAATGGATGAAATAGCTGTACTCTGGTACTCTGATCATCAAGAGCATTATTAAATAAATTGTACTGGGATTTTCATCATTGTGACGGCCAGGGTCATAGTTTGACATTCCTAGGGTCAAGATGAATTTACACTGATAGTTAAAAATGTTTTCAAAGTTTCCTACAATATTTTTACTTCCAATCTATGCAGATCCAACATGGATATTGGTGAGACAATAAAATATAGAATCACAGATTGTAATTTGTATTGCCACTTTCCAGAATTGCAACCACACATTAACCACAGTATCCTTCCTGTTATTTGTTAAATGTGAATGTCAAGAAATAGCCTTTGGAAGCAACACCAACACCAACTCTCCACCCTCAACAGCTAGAACAATTTTACCTCCAAGAGAGGAAAAAAACCCTAACACTGAATATTGTTCTGCAGCACCAAAATCCAATGTACTTTTCTGGTTCCACAGACATCAAACTTGCGATACACCTTCTGCCCAGCTGTACCTACCAATAAAAGAAGCAAGATCTACTTTGTTCAGAGAAAACAAGAACCTTGCCATATGGGTTGCACAGCCCTGCCACCGTTTAAATGGTAAAAGAAAATTACTGTGATTGTTTATGATATGTATGAAAACCTGCTCAGCCTGAAGTAAATGACACAGGTCTCATTTGTTTCAATGGTTCTAGTTTTGGCTCATTAATTAATACTAGGAGTTCTTTTCCACAAGAAATTGGGCAAAAACATATATTCTGCCCTAAAATACTTTTCTTTTTTTCCCTCCACAAAATTGATTTGAATTTTTCTGTTTTCCTAAAATGAAGGGAAAAGATATGTCAGTTTGAATACAATTGTTTCCTTTTAGTTTCACAAAAAACACAAACCCGATCAAGAAAACACCCTACTGAAGGGCACGGGGCTGTGCATCGACTTTGCTGGAGTTTCTATCAGGCCCTTGGACTAATCTCACACACTTGCACTCCCAGCAGTTTGCAAGGATTTCCCCTCCTTCCCTAAGCTCTCTGGAGTGCTGTAGATGTTCTCTGCAAGGGCTGGGTCCCTCCCAGCCCGTGTGGCTGTGCCCGCTCACACGCGATGCCCGGCGGCAGAGCAGCAGCTGTGGCACCCCGGGCTCCCCGGAGCTGGCAGGGCACCGCTTCACCACACAGACTGAGAAAGCCATCCTGTGTAAGCACAGGAGCAGCTTTTCCCACGGTGGTGGGAGGAAATCAGAGATCCAAACTGTCACAGTCAGGCTCACTCATTGTTATGTGCTTGGACAAGAACAAATTTATAATTCTTCCTGTGATATTGTTTTAGCTGTAAGCTAGAATTGCGCTCTCCCAATATTCAGCGACACCAAGTAAGACCTACAGAAAAGTAGTCAGGATTAATGGAAACTTGCAGAACAGTAAATCTACGGTGCAGGTTCAGGTAAAGATGGGGGTGAGACAAGAGAAAACATGTCAAATTTACCAAGATTTAAAAGCCAATATTCTGACTAAAGCACTGTATTTCCACCAGGAAGAACTCTGACCAATGAAACAACACCATTGAACTTACTGGAGATAAGACTGTTAAAATATGAGGAGGAAAGGCCTTTGGAAGCAGATGGTCTTTTGCAGCTGTGTTCGCTGTTCTCACAGGCAGGCAGAGGCAAGGCTGCCCCAGCAGCATGGTCACGGGGCAAGGACGAGGAGGGCAGTGGCAGAGGAGCCAGGGTCTGGTGGCTGGAAGCTCCCCAAGATGCAGGCCAGATAGAGGACATGTATCTTGCCCTTGGCTGAGGGAGCTCTGAGCAGCACAGGCACAAACAGCACGTGGGGGTTGCCCTTTGCTTCAGAGAGACACACAGAGAGAAATGCAGCTGATAGGAGGCTCAGGAGTGTCCTGCTCTGGCTCAGACTGATGCAGACACAAACATGTTGATATCACTGGCAAATTCAACACTGCACGTAAAAGAAATTAAACATGTCCTTGTTAGCAGCATCTCCTTTAAACAACACACATCTTTATTTTTAATTAACTGAAATAAGGGAAACTATTTTCATGCTACCAAGAGAGTATTCCAATCAGTGGAAAATAAGATGAACAAAGAACGAAGAAAAATGAAATTAACTATGAAACAATAGTTTGGGTTTAATTTCTTTTCAGAAAATCCAATGTTCAGGCACTTTAAAAAGATTTCTCAGGGTAGGTTCACTGTTATCCAAGAGTTTTTCAGCGCTGATGCAATATAACTGTTATCATCGTTAGAACTCAGGGGACTGTTCTTTTTGACAGGGCCTTTCATGAAGTCAACAAATCAGTTTAAAACAAGCCATAAATTATATTTGGCTGCCTGTCAGCTTGGCTGGGGTGCTCTCCCAGTGCTGCTGTAAGTGTTGGGGAAAGAATATAACAACATATCCAGATATTTTACTTTAAGGGGATATTTTGTTCCTAATTTAAAAAGAAAGCATCCCCCTAGCATTGATTCTGATGCATAAACATATGTTAGAACAGCCATCAAGATTTTTACAGACTTCCCTACAAACAAATACACCCATTCTGGATCCTAAGTAATAGCTTAATAAATAATGGACTCGGTACGGGTCCCCCCAACAAATGCCTGCCACTCATTGCTAAATTAGGGAACTGTCAACAAGATCATTGCCCCAGTCTTGCTCCTGTAAGTGTATGTGGAGAGAGAGGTGGTTCCTGATAGATGGGATCCAAGCCTGCTATAGCTCTCTAGATATTATTAACATCCTGAATTGCAGCCAGAACTCACAGAAAAGACAATAGTGTCTACTTACAGTCTGCTGAGTTAGCAGCTACAGCTTCAGCCAGTGCAGCCAAACAAGTA